AAAATTTGAATGATTTTTATTAGAAGCAATTATTAATTTTTATATTGGTGTATCAATCTTCTTGCAACGGCCCATATTGTAATAATAGCTGTAATAAGCTTTGTAATATCACAATTAAATATAATGATGATGTTACTAAAATAATTAAAGATAAATTACATATTAATAATAGAAATTATAATAAAATAAAAATAATAAATTATGAGATTTAACATAATCTTTTGAGATTATTAATTAATGGTTCTTTTGTTATTATTATAATAGTAAATCTTAAATGAATACAGAAGATAATGCAGGTAATTTCACAAGTTTTCTTTATTTAATGATAACAATAACTAATTCTGTACAATGCCTTTTTATAGACAAAAGTCTTGACAATTATATAATAAAACAAATTACAATAACGTATGCCTGTTCTGAGACTTCGCACAATCGAGAAGTCGTTTATTCGGTGTTTAGGATACCATTCATTCGGGATTTCCTTTGTCAGGCTTATGAATTGTCGTTAGCGAAGATCACCGTATTATTCCAATCGTAAAAATCTGCCAATGGAATTGGAGAACTCCGAAGAACTTAAGATAGACGCCGCCGATAATCGAGTAATAATTTTATATAGACATAGTTTATGAGAGCATGCCGGAAAATAGTGAACTATCTTCCAGCAAGACAATAACCCGAATATATGCAAAAAAAGCAAGGCTATGGTTTGTTAAAAATGACATTACTTTGTTTGCTTGGTTCGCCCAGTCGCCCTGATTTAAGTAAAAATGATTTGTGAAAAAAGCTACAAATTTTGGGGAAACATTGACTTTTGCAAAAGGTTGATACATAGGTTGGTAGTGATAATTTAGCAACATGTACATGTAATGTGTAAATGTTTAACAACCTCTAATCTTTTTTAAAAAGTGAAATATTTATATACATTGTCTTCAAAATCTGTCATATTACGAGGAACGATAACAAATCATTATCTTGAAGAAATTATAGGTGAAAATAAAATTTGAAATTATCGTTTTAGCGAATAAAAATCGCTTACTTTAAGATGCACATGTATACATGTATGTTTTAATTAGGAATGTTAGTGCGGATTTAGAATTTTTCGGCCAACACTAATCTCATCACTAGCGCTAAGCTTTTTTGCTTTAATTCTAGTCATATCCCCTATTTTAATTTGGGCCCACTTTTAATCTACTTTATCGATAGACGTACAAGTATTCTATAATGTTTATGGTTTATATTTCTCAGGAACTTTCACATTAAAGAGGATCACAACGCGAACTCAGTGTTGGTTAATTCTTTGACGCGCGCATTTAACTAAAATTTTATTTTATCATTTTTGAAAACAATCAATTTAATTTTTATTGAGTGAAAACTACATGCAGATAAACTAAAATTATAATCTAAAATTTCATTCTATATAACATGCGCCTGAAGATAAACTAAAATTATAATCTAAAATTAAAATTTCGTTATATATAACACGCGCCTCTAGCTTTCTTCAGTAATATTAGTCAAATTGATTTGAATATACTTATTCTAATATTTATAGAATTCTCTATAATAAAAGTGAGAATGAGGGTTTCTAGTTTGTATTGGCAGGTTGAGCTGAAACTGGTTCAGTCTTTGGTTTTTTATGCAATTTTTTGCCATGCGCTTCTTTATGGTGAAGATTCTTTTTAAGATCTCTTTTTTGTTGAGGTTGAACTGAAACTGGCTCAGTCTTTGGTTTTGTATGTAATTTTTTGTGCGCTTCTTTATGGAGATGATTCTTCTGACTTTCTCTTTTTTGTTGAAGATGGTTAGGATGCTGGGTTTTTCCTTTTGTTTTATGTTGAGCTTGATGAATTTTTCCTTCTATTTTATGTTGAGGATGATGAGGTTTTACAGCAACTGAATTCGACGAAGTTGGTTCAACTGGCGCAGCAGCTGCCAAAGAGGCGGTTGCGAGCAAGAATAAAGCAGAGATTAAAGAAGCCTTCATTTTGTTGTTTTAAAAGAGAAAATGCAAGGAAAGAAGAAAGCTAAATTGATTGATTGATTAATGAAAAAGGGAGAACGATAATTTGATTGATTAATAAAAAAGGGGGAAATGAGAGTAAAGGAAGAGAAGGATTTGAGGAAAAAAGCAATTTGGTCTTCTTTCAACGCGCGCTTTTATCTATATTTCTCGGATGGCAAGAAACAAGGCTATTAGTTAAAACAAATATGCGTCAAATTACATGCAATTTTTCCTGCAGGCGGCAATTTCCCCAATAATATTTATTTTTCGAATTTCTCTTAAATTACTCATGTACATGTAATGTAATTAATATCGATCACTCATGGTACATTATTCCTCTTTTTGTATAGTAGATAAAATGTACGTTTCTTGGCGAAAGTAGTGTCACCATGAATGCAGTTTTTACCGACTTGCATATGTCCGACTAAAATGATTTGCACAAAAGCTACATGTGAATATGTTTATCGTTATAAAATCAGTTCGGGAGCCAATATAGTCAATTTGTTTGTGAAGGCACATACATTTATAGTTAAATGTTCGAATTTCTTTAACCTTTAACGTTAAATAAGGTTTTACGAAACAATATTTCAAAAACGTGGCATTATTTAAATAAAAACAGTAACTCGTAAAAGACAGTATCCGAATTAATTGTTTTTGATTCAGAGAAAAAAACTGAAAGAACAAGATAAAAAAGTAACATTGTTACACTTTTAGATTATTTAAACGTGAGAAATCATTGTATGAATTATAGTATACGTAAAAAATTTATTATTTATTTTATATCCCAAATCTGTTAGCAAAAAAATTAAATATCACGCAAAAAAAAGGGGTGGACCAATCAAATCTCAAGATCAATGTGTAACGGAAAAAAATTGTCTATAAAACCACATAAAGATGGTTTGCGAACTAGAACCTTTGAGCAAATGTTATTAATATTTTCATCTTGGGATTTGATTGGTTTACAAGAACTAGTGGTCCGATTTCTATATCAAAATCATTTACCGGTTCCGAGATATTTCACGTCAAAGTTGTTATCGATTTTCAAAGAATTGTTTTCTCAAAAATGGTAATCTTTTGATATCATTCGAGTCGCAACGATAAGACGATCTCAAAAAATATTCGAAACGGGTCACTAGTTCATGAGATATTCCGTGTTTAAAATTGTTTAAAGAATTATCTGAGCAAACACCTTTTGTTTAAAAGTTTTCAGCGCATATTATATGAATTCGTTCATCAAATGGTCGTTCAGCTGTTACAATCTCAAATATAAACACAAAATCTATAAATATCTGCAGCTTTAGTGTGTATAGCTAGAGATGGCAAATGCGCGCATAGTACGCATACAGTATGCGCATATACATGTAATGCGCATAATGATCTACATGTTCATATATAGTAATCAAATACGCGATGTGAATTCATAAAAATTAATGATGATTTATTTTCTATAACTATTATATACATTTATCAATAATTATCACTATCACTTGATGTTTCTAATATATCATCACTATTATCTGATATATTAGATTGTTCATTATCATTACCATCCTGATATTCACTTTCATTATTATCCTGATATTTGCTTCATCACTCTCATTACCAGCATAATATTGATTTGACACTTATTTCATCATTAATGCTTTTTTTGATAATTTTTTTTGATTATCTGGAGGTGTTTGTAATTTATAATTACTATAAATATAAACCAATTTAAAAATGTGCTTACTACTTAACCAATTTCTTTTTTGTTATGAAATATTTGCAAAAGCTAACCAGTCACATTCAGAAGCTGCAGATGATGTTGGAATTGTTAAGATACATTGTGCTAATTGTGTTAATTCAGGCACTGCTTGTGCAAAATTCGCAATCCACCAAGTAATTGGATCAATATTATCAATGCACTTCCATGCTAATGTATTACTGAAAAGATCTGATTTTGCTTTGTATCGCATAAGTTGACTTCCAGGCGAATTGGCATTGAGTGAACTTGTATTAGCAATTTCTGGATTTTCAAAGTTCATACCAAAAAATGATTGTTTAACTTCAATTGAGGCATTTGGACATACACGCAAATGTGACTTACACCGAATTACTGAATTATTACATTGATATTTACCAATTTGATTAAATGTTCCCATATAGAACTTCAACAATAAAGATGTAGATATTAGTAACTATGCGCATAATGCACATATATGTGTGCGCATATATGCGCGCATAATGCGCTTAGGCACATCTCTATACAGGATGTCATTATTTCGAGATTTCGATCATTCGAGATGCCGTTCTTTCGGTCTTTCATTTGTCGGGCATATGAAAGTTCGGCATTGTGTTCTTCAGGATTTTGACCGTTACCGGTTAGTGAACAATCATGTGATTTCAGCGAATTTAGTTTGCCAAAAAACTAGCAAAATTATTTATTGTTCAAAGCTAAATTAATGATCAACAATTTTCTGCTGTAAACTTGATTAGAAAGACGTGTCTAGAGATGCGCCTATGCGCATTATGCGCACCGATAAAGGTATTTGTACTTCGATACGTACTCACATTTGTCCATCTCTAGACGTGCCACATTATGTCTTGAAAAGTGGTACGGACATGCAATACCGAAAAATTCTGAATATTGTGTTAAAAATAGTCGTGGAATAAAAGGACTCATTATGTATTACATTACGTTGTAATCTCGAATAAAGATTTAGAATTTTCGAATAACTGTCAGATGTAAGATAACCTTGCCCAAGTAGAGTTCCACAATTTAATTTTGCGCATAATAAGTTCCATAGCGAAAAGTTAATTAACTAAATACATAATGAAAGTTTATTAAATTGACTTGCGGAGCTTGTGGACCGCAAATGATTTTAAATTCCGCAGTTAAATCATACAATCGTACCTTTCTCACAATGAGGTTGTATGTACATGTATATGTATAGATGTACATGTACACATGTACATGTATCCTGTTAGATCGTATATGTACATCTTGTTAAACCGAAGATAATTAAAAGATAGACCGGACGAAGGGAACACAAGCGTCTTCGGTTTGACGGTGGTTAACTATGTAATTAAATCATGTTCCTTCTCTTTAATCTGATTGGAACTTCAAAAAATTTAAAGAAATTTTGTTAATGCACTGCTGCAATAGTACTACTTAATGTTAGATCTTTAATTATACTAAATAAGGGAATCCATCAAAGAATTTAGAATTCGTTATTTGTTATAAAATTGTTCAATACTGGGAAGAGTGGGAAGGTGTTGTGGATATTAGAATATAAAAACGTAGTTTCCTTTCTTTATTAAAAAAAAAGGAGGTATAACAAGGAATAAAAATGCTGCGTCACTTATTTAAAGCACCACAAAAAACGGAACCAAAATCGCTTTTGTGTATTCGACGTTCATTCATAGTTACATTATTGATATTGTTAATATGTTCCTTCGTGTTGTTGTGCATTAAGCTGGTCAAAGAAATTCCTACTGTTAGTTCCACTTTTAGATCAATTAATAATGTAGAGGCACCAGGTAAAACAAATTTTTTGAATTAAAAAATCACCAGAATCATATGATAATTTTTCTGATACAAACCACGAATCAATGTAGCCGTTCATTTAGCTCTTGGATATTATTTTAACTTCTCTTGTTTGTTATATTATGATTACAAAGGAAGTAAGAAAAGTTTTAATTACTTTCTTGATTAATTGTAATATTATTATATTAACAGTATATACATACTAATACCCCGACTCAAAATGTTCAAAGCAACAAATGAAAGTTGCAACCAATATATTACACAACCAATAGAGATTGATGACATCGATTATCCTTTTGTTGGAGATTTTTTACCAAAAGGCATTATAAAGTTAGCTGCATATAATACTACAGAAATCGAAGTGAAAACAACAAAAGTGCCGATTTTTGTTTATCTTTATATAAACATCACAGATCCTACTTATGATGATAGCGATATCTCTCACGAACCATTCTTTAGAATGACTTTATATGATTCAGGCAAGTTTTTTATAACTTGATTACAGCGTTTGATAGTTTGATAATCATATTAACATGGTAATAAACAAATAGAAAATGAAAATAATACGCAGAGTTCTTCATTCGAGACATCGCTTTTCTATTAAACAAATACACTTTATCAGGAGGTTTTGTATGTATCAACGATTCATCATTTAGGAGGTGCATGAATTTGCGAATTGATCATATGCTGTTATTACATGTAGTTTTATAAGTTAGGGTACTCTAGAAAAAGTAGAAATTTGATTGCTCAAACCATTTTATCTTACATTGGTCTACCATCAAGTTACCGTCCAGACCTTTATATTGAATCAAATATGCGTAAGTATATTTGATTTGAAAACGCTATATCATCAATTGTGCATTTTTAACCATTTCTAAAGACTGATGTTATTGCTTTTGTTATTGATTATAAATCTACAGAGAGTGTCCCGATGGAATCTTTACATAAAACAAATATAATTCTACGTATTAGTCCACGAAGTTTTCTTTTAGAAGAGGAACAAGAGCAAAGGTAAAAATTATCTATAGTCTAGATGATTTAGAATAATCATTCCGATTTTGATTTGCTTATATTTTATTAATACATTCGTATGCGCAATTTTAAAAATAATAATATATAGGCATCTTACGGTAATCATATTTGAAATTTCATAATCCGTCATGCACAAATAATGAATGATCTTTCGTATAAATAGATTATTAGCGCACTAGGAACTATTGCTGCATATTATAGTTCTGTTGCATTTATTTATGTATTTTTATTCGGTAAATTGCCTTTTTAGTTAAATCATTGTGTATTATATGTATAATTCCCTCACTTAATTATTTTAAAATTTTTAGGAGTTGATTCAATAACACCATGGGGTGTTATACATGGTTGTGGATGCAGGAAAGTCAAACATAGAACCAGAGAAGTAATCTACGAGGCTGTACATTCACCTGAACTGGAAGCCAATACACCTGACACAGAAATTGATTTAGCAACCCTCAGACAAAAAGTTAAAGACTTAGAAAAATTTAAACGTTACATTGAAAACAACTTCGTTGACACTAAATTATATGAAAAATCCGCCAGAATGGATCAGTAACAGCAGTAACAACAACAACAACAATAACGACAATAATAACGACAACAGCAACAGCAACAATAAGAAAACAACAAGAAAAATAAAAATAACAACAATAAAAATAACAAGAAGAGTAGAAATTCAAAACAGTCATAATAATAATCAAGATTATTTGCTAACTGTTAATTATAATTATACAATATAACAATAAATTAAATTAAATTCTAATCAGGAGATTTTTAATTAAAAATATTATTTACTAATATACTTAATGATTGTTTTTGAAAAAATAATCTATTAATATTTATCTGATGTACCAATCTTTTTGCACCAGACCATATACATTATTCCTTTAATCCATAGAAATGATTCCATTTTTTCTGACAAAAATCATTTTGAAATAAAAATTATGGTTTTATTCAATTTATTTTATTTTTATCAATGTTTACATCAAATAAAAAATAAATTTATTTAATATTAATTGGTCCTCCATTTGACTCCAATATCAATCCTATAGAATACCCCGTTCTAAAATAGCCACGTCAATTTTTTCTCACATCATCTTCAATGCGACCTTAAATTCATCCACAGTCTTCGGAAAGTTCTCATTTTTTTAATATTCTCTTTTAATATCTTCCCAGATCTGGAAAATTCACCGGCCTATTAATGATCACGATTTTATTTTCCGTTAACCATTCCTTGATTTCTCTCGCGGCATGAATCGGTGAATTCTCTTATTGAAAATTGCATAATTTTCAGTTAATTCCTCAATTGCGTACTGAAATGGAAATATTGAGTTTTTAAAATTTCCAATGAATATTTTTTTATATTCATCATGAAAACTTAATGACCTTTTCTGCATAGCATCACCAAATTATTACAGATTTTTGTACACTTTTCAAGGTAGAAGCCAAGCAATTAATATTAAATATTTCTTCAGGATGTCGCCAAACTCTGGCTGCCATGATTGCTTTCCAACTTCAACACTGATTTCATAGAGAAATTTATTTTTGTCCAATTATGTGTTAATTTATTTTTATTTGATTCACACCATTTAATACGAGTATATGCATGTGCTTCTGAGATATAGGATTTCTTTGCTGCGATACGTGGGTTGAATCTGGAGTTGTGAATACATTTGCAACAGTTGATAAACTACAGGCGAGATTTAAATGTTAACTACATCGTGTAGTGATGCATGTCTTTGTTCATTTGCTTCACGTATACGAAAATCCTTTTCGTGTGGTTGTCAAGGGATTGTTGATCTTTCTATTCATTTATATTTGCTAATAAAGTGACATACCATTGTGGGGGTCACGTCTAAGCATTTTTGTGAATTGAACGCCATTTTTGATCTCTATGTATGCCAAAATCTTCCAAAAATTTAAAATGGTTGTTGTTTGCGTGCATGATAACTGCTACAGAATTTTACAGCTAATTTTGTATGCATACAGTATTTAAATTTCAATTTTCTCCTCAAATTTTTATAGTCAAAATTATAGTTAATAATACACCACTGAATAAAATTATATCATGCAAAACGAATAGCTTCATATATAACAGACTGTTGATCTCCTATAAAAGACGAAGGTGACCCAGAAAATAGTATGATCTAAACTAGTGATATATAGTTTCGGCAACTCTAATCCTAATTCAAACAATAATATCTTATATGCACACAAGCAAAGATACAAAGATTCAAAAAATCAGTATAGTCAAAGAATAATTGATATATAGAATTCAATTTTTATTGTTCAACATATATGAATAAAGTGAAAGACGATCACACCACCACACCACCAGACCACCTATACTCTCTTACAACCCCAGCAGTTTGATTCATCAGAAACCTAATCTCTTGATTCGGTTACTGATGAATCGGAGCTCCTTTTTGCTGAGAAACGACCTGCCTGCCGCACAGTCGCATTTCCAGCAAAAAAGAGCTCACTGCTGAGGCGGCCATTACACTCTTCTCTTCTTCAATGGCCTCTCCTCATCAACATCACCCTCCCCCTTTATAGCCGGCTCCACCCTTTTTCTTCTATTCTGGTTAGAGCCGGCTATCTCACCTTCAGTTTTTACGGCAGGCGTCGTGGACGCCCAAAAACTCTTGGTAAAAGAGCAACCAATGGTCACAGCTTGTCCAGGACGTAATGTCTGGGAAGCTGACCAAGGAAAACTCATCCTTTGAGTTTGATTGAAATTATGTTGAGAGCTAGTTGGATGAATTTGTGTTCGCGAGGTAGGAAATCCGTATGTTGATTGATTATGATTTGCTGGCGGTGTATTATTAACATCAAAATTTGGTGTCTTTTCAGACTTATTACGTCGTTGCATTTGCTTTGCAGACCGAGTTTGTGTTAAAAGAGCTTGCTTTAACATAGACGGCGGTAACTTCGACGTTTGGCGTCTCAGAGAAGAGTTTGATGTTTGAGACTGCACAATTGGAGCTTGCCTTCTCAGTGAGGAAGTTGCTTTACTATTCAGTGTCTTTGACGAGCTAGCAGAATCTGATGCCATATTTTTTGATTGCTTTGCATTTTGAGAAGAGTGTACTAAAAGAAGAACAAGATAGTAATATTTTGGTAAGTTTTTATGATATTATTTATAACACAAAAGTTAATTATCATTACCTTTATGATATCTTCTTGTACGCACACCAATTTCCGGGGATTGTGGCTCCTCTTGATTATTATTATCATTGACATCAAAGGAATTTAGATATGCAGGCTCTTTGCCTTTGCCTTT